GACCCCTCTCAGATTTGTTCATTTTGTGATGATATCTTTTATTCTCTAATTTTGGTGAATATTTTTGTAATTTTTGGTAAAAAGTAATATTTTCGACTTTTTGTTAAAAACCGCAAGTCCGATTGCTTTGATATTCCATATATAGGTACTACATGTGAACCTCTCTCAGATTTGTTTATTTCGTGATTATATCTTCAATTCTCTAATTTTCATGAATATTTTTGGTAAAAAGTGATATTTTCGACTTCTTGTTAAAAACTGCATGTCCAATTGCTTTGATACTACATATCTAGGTACTACATGTGGTCCTCTCTCAGGTTTGTTCATTTCGTGATGATACTGTAGAATACTTTATTTTCGCTATTTTCGCTGAAGGGATGATTCCGTGAAAATAAAATCTAGCGAATATACATACATTCCTATATTTTACATTAATCTCATCAAAAATCAGTGAAAATAAATTCCAAGCAAAACACCCAAAAAGCCTTTTCAGCAAAAATTAATTCCAGCGAAAATAAAGTATTTCACAGTATCTTTAATTCTGTAATTTTGGTGACTATTTTTGGTAAAAAGTGATACTTTCGACTTCTTGTTGAAAACTGAAAGTCCAATTGCTTTGATATTACATATCTAGATACTACATGTGGACCTCTCTCAGATTTGTTTATTTCATGATGATATCTTTAATTCTCTAATTTTCATGAATATTTTTGTCATTTTTGGTAAAAAGTGATATTAAAAAGTGGTTAAAAACCGCAAGTCTAATTGCTTTGATGTGCATCCATCCATCCATAGTCATATTTCAGAATCCTTTGGGCCGATTCTGTTCATTCTTTGCATGTGCCTAGTACTTTATGTGGGACATATTCACATGCAGTGGTTTAGCGATTTGATTCAAAATGGCCGACAGGCAGTCATCTTGTTTTTTGAAAATGTTGTATTTTGGACATGCTTTGTCAGTTTTCATTCAAACTTGGTACATAGATTATACATGTTAGGATACATGTCCATGACAATTTCTTTCGCAATTGGATCAAAGATGGTTGACTGTCAAACATCTTGTTTGTTTTTTTAAATGTGGTATTTTAGACATGCTTTTTCAGTTTTTATTCAAATTTGACACAAAGATGCCAGAATAATGGCCATATTACTATATCTCTGTCATCCATGCACCATTTTCATTGATATTTAGTATGTCACAAATGGATAAATGTACATGTCAATTCTATTTGCAATTTGATCAAATATAGCTGACTGGCGGCCATCTTGTTTTCAGTTTAATTAAAATGTGATAACTTGGACATGTTTTCACTTGTGATCTATGTTTTAAACCAGAAGGGTCGTTACACAACACGTGTTCGAATTTGGGATACAAGTTTCAAGGACACACTCGCGACAACCCCTCCACTTTAATATGACGAACACAAAGAGAACTTTCACAAATTTAACAGGGACTGTGTCATTTTCAATGACTTGTGATTGGTTAATTAGCGATTTGACCTATCAGGTCAAAGAACTCTGTACCAGGTCAAAACATGGTGGATATTTTCCAGCATCGAGCGTTTAATTACAGTCCCTATCATTCGCTTACGATGAAACTAAATTGAAATTTATTTGCATTTCATAACAATTCAGCAAATTTATTTTTTGTACGTTAATATAATCATTACTAAGTAATAATCAAGGATGATTGTTATTAGTATCAGCAAGCTCGTTGGCGCGTCACAGTCCAATACACGCACAGGCCATCATTAAAAGAATTCAATAGGCAGTGAGGAAAGGGTGATTTTCACCCCAAATCTATTTTTTAAGGGTGCACAAAGTGTAGTAGGCAGGAATCTCACAATTGTGTGTTCTAGAGTAAATGCTGAACATGTCATCAACTATTTCTGTGAAAATCTCATTCTAACTTGGTTTGACCATCACACATTGTGGGCTACTGATTTATTCAAAATGGCCGACTGATGGTCATGCTGGTTTTTATTTTTATTTGTTTAAAGTAGATACAATGACAAGAAATAAAGTGAATGAAGAGCTTGGATTTATCAAAAGCATAAAAGGAAATTGGTTTGATGCCCAATGTATTTGTCCTTATGTGCCCTTATGTTATTCCTACATGCTAAGTCCACTTTATACTTTATATATATTTTTTCCGATTTTAATGACCTTTGACTGCCTCGAGGGTCTAACATTTTGAACATGTCATCAGCTATTTTCAGGCATGTCTAATTGGTATGGACATTTTACCTGATGCTTTAGATGTACATGATTTTGCGTTTGTGATGCGCAAAATTGAAATCATTCCCACAACTCGCCTCAGTGCTTTTAAGAGTTCAATTAATTAAGGTCTGAGTACCTTGCTTCATAATAAGAATTGTAAAATCATTATTACAATATATCTATGTTTATTGCAGGAACGAAGAAAAAGTGAGTTGTAGCAAAGCAGATGACACATATTGTTACTACAACAAGACCACAATTGGGAAAAAGCCAGGGTAACTATGTGAAGACAAATCCCATTTCATAATCAAATGGACTTGATTGTTTTTGCTAAAATTGAGAATGCAGACACACATGCTATGAATGTGATAAAACAAGTCCATTACATATTTTGAGTACATGGAATATGAATAAGATTTGGATTCAGAAGAATGAGAAGGGTTCACAGACTGCAGTGAATCATGAACAAATTTATAATGGTGGAAAGTCATATCCCTGTAGACACTGTAAAATGGTATTCACTTGTAAAAGTGATCTGTCTTGCCACAAACGAATTCACACTGGTGAATTACCATACATATGTAAAGTTTGTGGTACGGGTTTCAGTGATAAGGGAAATTTAACTTATCATGAACAAACTCACGCTGATGGAAAACAATACAAATGTATATACTGTAACAAGGAATTCACTAAAAAAGCCATCTTAATTCAGCATGAAAGATGTCACACAGGTGAAAAACCATTCATCTGTACACATTGTCAAAAAGCCTTCTGCCAAAAAAGTCATCTGATTTCTCACAACAGGATTCACACTGGGGAGAAGCCTTACCAGTGTACTTATTGTGAGAAGAGATTTAGTCAAACGAGTAATCTCCGTTGTCATGAAAAACTTCATTTAGTCCCAAAGCCGGAGGGTGTCAATAGAAAAGCGAACAACAATCAACAAATGAAGACTCATGAAAAGCCATACAAATGTAAATATTGCAAGAAAGCTTTCAGGCAAAAAGTCAACCTCACTACGCATGAAAGAACTCACACTGGTGAAAAACCATTCCAATGTAAACTTTGTGGGAAAAGCTTCAATCAGAAAGCTACCCTGACTTACCATGAAAGAATCCACACAGGTCTAAAGCCTTACAAATGTACACATTGCCAGAGAGGTTTCAGTCAGAAAAGTCATCTAATTGCTCATGTAAGAACTCATACAAGTGAGAAACCATTTCAATGTACACATTGTGGCAGGGCCTTCACACAGAAAGGAACTCTCACTGTTCATGAAAAAATACACACGCGTGATAAACCTTACAAATGCAAGAAGGATAGGATTACAAATAATAAATGTTCTAATGGTGTGAGAAAACAATCAACTGAAAAAGTTCATACAGGAACACCTTCACAGTCAAAAAGACTCGCTGACAATAAAATAAAATGCCATGTAGAAAATTCAAATAGGAACACAGGTTCTCTAAAGATGATTGCACAACCATCCCAGAAATCCTATGTAGCTAATGGTCAGAGTGCTATAAGGTGCTGCCCATATACTTCCTGCTTGGAAAGAGTTTCGAAACGACCTGGAGTTATTGATCAAGGGGATATGATGAAACTATCTACTGGTAATGTAACTGCGGAAGACAAAGACCCTTGCGCACTTTTGAAGATCATAAAGATGGGTGATCATATCGATAGCAAAAGCAGCAGTAGCAAGCACAAAAAAAAGAAAAAGAAGAGTAAACGAAAAAAACAAGAGCTGCATATGAGCCCAAGAAATACACTCGTTGTACAGCACAGTAAACAAAGCACAATGAATTGTCATCCTGTTTCCTTCACAAGTACTACACTTGACACAGCTACAGTGATTCATGAGCAACGTTCATCCAGGGAAGGAAGGAAAGTGCATAAGGCATATCTTTGTAAAAAGCAAAAAGCAATAAATAGAGTATTCACTCACTGCAGTATCAGAAATGACAGTTCACATTCATTGAGTGATGAATCAACGAAATACTGTTACATTAATGACTTACAGAATCAATCTAGTTCTAAAAAAAACCCCCAGTGTCAGAATTATGGAATGATGCATCTGAAAATAGAGTTGGAACTGTTTTGGAAGGTTTGGGTGCAGACATTTATGAGGAACATAATTATTCTATGACTGTGCACCAATAGTTTGCCAAGAAACAAAAGAGGGAATCATGGATTTGTTCACAGGCTCACCTCAGAGCTCATCAACTTAAGGTGCTTGTCAAGAAACATTAATTTCAGTGTAAATCGGCAGGTGGTGAAATTATTGAATTGTAGCATGAATCAGTGAGTCAACAAAGTGAATAAAAATCCCAGAACAGTAACTGGAACAAAATTGGTACTTCTTTATTACTATAGATATGACAACCTTATTTTGTGCATCAATCTCGAATTTGAACAATTGTATACACTTAAATATTATTGACTTGTTGAATTATTTGAATTTAAAATTCAATTGCAATAACTGTTATTGTGTCAAAAGCAATCTACAATTGAGGAATTATATATCACGGTTCTCTGTATTATTAATTGAAGACCAATGTTGTTAATGGTGCTGAAATTTGCATGTTATTACCTTGGTCTTATTCTCTGAACCTCAAATTTTATCAGAATGTTGATCATCCTGCAGTGGCAGCAGGTGTATGTATATATACATATACTGATTACTGTAAAATACTTTATTTTCGCTTGGAATATACTTTTGTTTCCTATATTTTACATTCACTCGTCAAAAATCTGTGAAAATAAATTCCATACAAAACATCCAACAATTCTTTTCAGCAAAAATTAATTTGAGCTAAAATAACGTATTTCACAATATACTGATCTTTTGATCAACCATAAAATCGAACACATTTGTATCAGTACCAACCAATCAACCAGCTAAACATGTAACAACTCTACATTTGGTGGGAGTCATGTACATGCATATACGTTGTTTGTTGTACATGTATATTCAATTTTAACAGTAATTCAACTATATTGCTGGTATGTACTTGACAGACTTAAACATTCATTTATATATGATTTATATGTAGTTGTAAACACATTGTTGAAAAAATAGTTGTTTTCATATTATATTTTTGCAATTAAATTGAATATTCAAATGTATATACTAACATACTAATACTAAAACATTTATTAATACTTTGATATATGAGGTACAAATACATTGCTGGTAAATAGTTTAGTTTTAATATTTTCACACCCTCATATATACCATACTCGACTGTATTAACGCCCATGCCCAATTTTTATATTCAGGGTCACATTCGGCAAAGCGCCCACCCCTTCAAAATGCCACTAAATGTGTACATTGAATTTTGATAAACAAGGAAATTGCTGTTTCAGAAATGTAGCATGTGTATTAAATCATAGAATTATAATGTAGTAGCTTGACAGCCAGACATTTTCCATGGTTTAAACATCCTCTTCAAAGAGTCTGGAAATGCTTACATTTCGTTCAATTAAGGATGTTCAGATTTTGCAAAATACTATTTTTAACAGCCAATCAATGACACATTTAGAAGCAGGACAGGACTATTCTGCAGATATGGGTTAAAGTGGGGGAGTTGTCACCTGCGCATACATAGGAATTGAAATTCCAGCATTTCTACAATGGTTTGAAAACATGTACATCAGCACAGCTGGTACAGAGCTGGAGATAGTTCATTCAGACATATTGTTAGGGTTGTCACAATGTCAACGATTTTCAATTTAATTATTTTTTTTTAAATTGTTGGTTTTACTTGTTGAAATGTTTAGATGTTTTTTATAACCATTTAATACAAATTTATTGTACTGTTCTCTAACATTTTGACAATTTTTGTATTAAATTGATTGTTCAATCTAGTATGCCTTTTTCTTATTCTTTGTAAGGTGTATAATTTGATAGAAAATTTGAATGCGTTCAGTCAGCATGAATTGTTTCCAAACAAACTTTCTGGTCAGTGTTCGGTGCTGATTCTTGAAATGTTAGTTATACAGTTGTGTGTAAATTTGTAAAAGCTGTTTGCAAGTTGAACACATTGGTCGAAATGTAGTAAATGTTGGCTGCTAGGCTTGTTTGAAAGTGGTGCAGATTGGGTAGAATGCTGTAACTATCGCCTGGAGAGTTCAAAAGTGGCCTGGAAGTTCAGAAAAGTTGTAAATGTCAGCTGGAAAGAATTTCTTGGGTGAAATGTAAACACCGCCCAGAAAGTAGAAATTGTAACCATGAAACACATAAATGTTGGCAGGAAGTCGTAAGTTGATTACAGAATAGACTTGGATGCTGTAAATGGCTGATAAGTCAAGAAGCGTGGTTAAAACGTAAATATGGTCTGGAAACTCATAAAAATTGCATGGGATGTCGTGAAAGTTTGCTGGAAAGTCGTAAAAATTTACTCTGAAATATCGCCGGGAGAGTTACTGAATTTTGTTAAGTTGGATGGAAGGTTATAAAAATTGGTTTAAAAGTCATACAAATTGGCTGAAATGTCTTATACAAAGCAATATACGTTTGTTGCTTAATATACGCTTGTCAAATTTCTAGTTAA